CAGCATTACCAAGTGCATCGGTTTTGATCAATGAAACTTCCGCCCACTTACGCACTCCCTGTTGGAGGTTGCATGGCTTACGTTCCTTCAATGTCTAGTCGTTCTGTGGCGTGCATTGCGTATGTGTCCCTTCCTCGAGCGCATACATCTGCGGTTCCCAAGTGTTATTACGGCATGCTGTTGGCTCATTGCCGTTTGGCTTCCTGACACTTTCATACTACTGATAAATGCTTCAGTAGTGTCTGCCTTTAGTCCACCACATGTTTTACCGACTTCGTCGGTGTGCATTAGACGCCGTGGCTGCGCCAATCCGGGCGAACCTGCGAAGTAGTCAGTTGATGAAGAGACGTACAGGCAGAAAGAAATTGACTGAGATACGATCTGGCTGGGGCATACCGTCTACGTATGGGTGGAAGGTGGTATAGTCCACCTTTAGTCCGCCTTCAGTCACTCATGCCAGATTGGTCTGTGGTTAGAGCTCGAACAAACTCAATGATTTGGTCCTCCAGGTTGGAGTTTTAACTAAGAGTGGCACCTTATTCCTTTTAAAGGTCTGTTTGTAGTCAGCTGCCAAACCCTGTTTAGCTTTAAGCATCAAGGCCTTTGGTCGGAAACCCTAATTTTCTCTTGTCTATGCCTAGACAGCTTGACAGTATCCTGCCCACGCAATGCAGTGAAACTTTTTCAAATCATTACTTGATGTGCTGGCCGTTCCAGAGAAAAATCAATGACATACTATCTACTACGTCAAGCGGGGTGAATAAGGACTAGGGTGCTACTACTCAGCCGTTACCATCTTCCTATTCCTTCTCTTATACTTTACTCTACTTATCGCCCCACTTCAGCTTCACTTTTACTGCCTCTTCCCAACCCCTCTTTTTGTTATCATCTTTGCTCATGTTTTGATAGGCGTTAGTCTTCTGGTTTCGACTCGCAATCGCAGAATGTCGACAAGTCCCTTGTCAACCGAGCGGAAAACTACCGTCCATATCTACATATACTTACATATAATCTTTCTTTTTCAGATGGTATTGAACCGACCAATTTCCCAAACAACGGACAAACAGTCTTCAACGGTACTAAATTTGATCAATACTTATCTCGGTGTCCAATGCATGGATCTGATTTATGAACCGATGGAAGTACTCAGCACACAGCGGAGCATACTAACTTGCGATGCTTCTTGTGCTGAACTGGCCGATCTGTCATCTTCGCACATTTTATCAGGTAATCCGCTGGAGCTGCAGGAGGTAGTTGACCTTTCAATGGAATCCAAACTCGTCACTAACACGGAAAAAGAATCCAGCTGCGTTTCCAACTTTCCCGATTTTGCTAAAATGAAGCCGTTATCTCAGTTCGTTCACCATTTTGCTTTCATTTGTTTAGTCCTCCCCCGGGTGGATATCAGGATGGTTTCGTGTACTACATTTCCGAAGATCAGCATCAGCTGTTCGGGCTTTTTCCGCTCTCCAACACCAGCAAACGGATTTTACGCGTGAAATTGGAAACCGGTATTGCTATTCTTGATGCTTACTTGCACTAGATTCTAACGTTCAGCATACAATCGAAACCGTCAAGCAACTTCACATGCCCTTGTTTCCGGTATTCTTAGGTCGCGCGTCGATTTTCTACTGTTTTATCGCCAGACATTTCAGTGCGGATTTGAGGCGGCTTATGATTTTCCATGCGCTACTTTTACAGCCAAATATGACACTTGTGCTGCGGAACTTCTGAGTCCACCTCCACCTTACATTACGGGAAGCTTGGTAATCTCACTCGACTTGTTACAACTTCCAGGCTATCGAAGTTGATCTATACAATTCGGATTGGCTTTCGCCTGTACTCTCAGACCTTAATATTTTAAAGGTTACTTTCAACCATACTGCTGTTCCCTTTACATTTATTTCTCTCAGAACATGTACACTGCGTACATGAATGATTGTTTTAGTTGGAATGTGGGCGGTGCAGTTTTCTCATTCGACAGTTTCCGAGATTCTCTTTCAGATGTTTTCAATGGTAAGGAATGATACCACTTGATTCAATTTATTTGTCAGCCGCTACGTTCAACCCGATTGAGATTCCGACCGGGCCTTCACAGTGCGCGGCCAAACGTTCATTAGATTCGACTGAAGTTCTGTGGAATGCTATCAAAGGTACTTGTTATGCTTATTGTGGATGACATAACAGGTTATTATTTCTTGCTCGGATCACTTCCACATGCCTTGCTGCGGAGACATTGGAATACGATTTTGGTTGCTGGCTTAGTTGTTAATAGTGTATCCTAGTTGGTGTCCCCTCCCCGTTTCTCGTTCAATCGTCTACTAGTAGGTCCTGGGCCGGAATTGGTAAACTGCTTTGAATCAGCTATTTAATTACGCCACTCCCTGGCTTCATGTGATTTACTCCGCGTATAGATGAGCTGGGATACGGTGTTTGGTACCCAGCTGACCGGCCTGTAAACCGCTGCACTGCTATAATTCACTTACCGTTTCACTCAAACTATTTCGCAGACTTATGAACAGGGGCTTCATGGTGTAATCAATTGTTTGTTCTCCACAATATCTTCCATGTCAAATAGCTCCGTTGTGGGCGCGTAAACACGAGTCTGCCGTTTCATCCTATGGGAACTCGTCAAAAATGCCCATCCTTCTATACTAGTACCCGAACACTCGGTCTCTTGACACTCACCAGCGGCTTGTGCCACTAGATCATGAGTGACGATGGCATACCATCACCATCATCATCGTCCTCCTCCTCCTCATCATCATCATACTCATTCTCATCATCATCATCACCTTAGCTAGAGGTGAGAACACCTCAGCCATTGTGCCGTAATACACGAGAAAAAAGAGGCACAACACAGGCGCGCCAACTGAGTTACCAGTAACGGATGGACATCGTTCCGGAGAGCTAGCAGCCGACTGTTGTTCCGCAACAATGTTATACAGTCCAACCTGTTATGGCGACCACTTGTCTTGGCGACCATCCAAAAATATTCCCAGCGTTTTCCCCCATTAGTAATGTCCTTATGCATGAACCTGTTCATGACGACCACCTGTCCAACGTGACCACTTTTTGTCGGTCTCTTGAGTGGTCGCCTTAAACAGGTATGACTTTATTATGCTTCAGGAATGAGATCGTGGTTAGTGGGTTAGGCTAAGAAGGATAGGGAGGGACAAAGAAACTCACAGAACGAACGCCATTGAGCTCGGCTCCTAGCCATGTCAGCAAGTGTATCCAGCCAAACGTGTCCATTGTCTTTCGGGTCCCAACCAGGGTCCCAAGAGACTTCAGCGGATGTCAGTTTGAAACTGTGGGCCTTCATTCCTCTTGACCATGTCATCGGCAGACCGACATGAATTGCACGTTTTTCGGACGCGTAAGAAGCTGACTTGGAAGCTATTACAAAGAGCCCTCGATTAATTACGAACTATACTCTTTAGCCCCCTTTTACTCGACTTTATACGTTTACTTACTTTCCTACCACAGTTGGTTATAATAATAATACTACTACTAATAACTATTACCATTGTGTCGCGGGTGATATTTGCTGAATCCAGTGTACTTCTGTGCTCGGACGGAAGTTATTTTATTGAATTGAATATAGATATCCGCTGATGACTGTTAACTAATGGTTTCCCGCTTTTGAGAATTTACAGCCTTTTCTTACCTCCTGTGTTATGTCGAAAGTTATCTGTTTATGACCACCTTGAAGAGACCGAATCTTCACTTGTTGTAATCGTTTGTATGTTTCCGTGAACCATTGAGTTACATTTGGGCGGATTTTTTTCAATTACCACCTAACCACTCAGTCAGTGGTTGTAGATCAGGTTACCAAAACCCAAGGTGCGAACGGAGTTATCTATTGTGTCAACTACCATCAACCGTATTCATCAGCTCTGACCACTTATCATTGCACACAACTTCAAACTCTCTTCTAGATGTTGCATGGCGCGAGCTGCTTCTGCATATATTTATAGTGCGAATATATCTGCGGTTGTCAAGCGTTCTTCTCTTATTGGGGCGCTGGTATGACCCAGTGTTGGCCTGTCACCATCTGGCTTTCTTGGTACTTCTATACTACTGACACTTGGCGCAGTAGTACCTGCTCTTGACCGGCCGCAAGGCGAACTGGGTATCAGTATCCTTTCATAGGAGATTGAGATATGCTGATGCCACCTACTTAACAGTCAGCTATGTGTAGGATAACTGTCTTCAGGCCATTGACTCAGTCCTTGTTTGCTCCTGTGTCTACCTCGAGTTAGTCAGCCTGTGATCAGTGAGATGCGAAGCCAAACACTCCCATGGTCTTTCGTAGTCACGAGCTTATAGTGTGACACGTTTTTAGGGCACGCATAAGCTTCTGTGCATTTTTATGTTCACTTGCAACTGTTCTCAAACGGATCTCTGCTAGTCCTTGTGGCTACACTCTGGGGCTAAATCTACGCCACATATCCCTGCGGATTTGACTATTAACTGAAAAGTTAGTGATGATACCCTTGAAGTAAACATATCTCTCAGAGTGGGTATCCTGTCTAGCTGTCATTATAGATCTTTTACTCTCGTTGAACTCTTTCGGGATAAGTATGGGATGTATCTCCGAAACACACACACACACAAAGGTGCATTGTCTTGACAAGCCTTCGTCTATCCTATTTGGCGTTTGGCGACGATAGTAATGTTCTGTACAACTCTATCGCTACAGAGTTTTTGGTTTGGACTATTCGCTGCTTCGATGCCGTATTTAGCGGAAGGGTTAAATCAGGTACTATCAAGTGGGTCCCAGTGAACAGTCGCATGCTTCCGGCTCGATTTGAAGTTTCATCGGAGTCAAGCAGTGGCATCGGAAAGCGTGGTGACTTTTTCTTGCTTTAGCGTGAGCTTCTACTAGTTGCGGGTCAGGAGTTGTCAAAGATGAGGTCTATTAGCAACTTTTCTTCTCATGATCATGCATGAGTGATGTGAGCGTTATTGATAGTGGGACTTCTCAAGTGGGATAGTTACTGAAGCCGAGCGAGGCGTTGAAGGCCGCTTCAGTCTCCGTGTCCATGGTGCTAATACTAACAATAAATTACCCTTGCTGGTCAATCACAGCCTTGTGACAAAAATGATCGTATCTGTCACCATCATCATCATTATACACGTCAGCTTGAGGTGGGAAACACCTTAGCTACTGTGCCGCAAATGATCGTATCCTCTCACTTGTCGTCAACCTAACAATTATTCGTCATGAACGCAATCCGATTACATCGCCATTAATCACAGCTGGCACACTACCGTGCAGGGTTGTGGGTCGATTTGGAGCATCATCGTAGCTTCTGGTCATGCCTTAGTAGATAGCCCTCGGTGTTCAGTCTTCAGTCTAACCTTGACACTATTCATCCATGCTCCATTGTGCGGTCCACTGAACAGTGATATCGAATCAGCAGCTGTCGTCGATTAGCAAGGTGAAAACACCCCAGTGCACACGAATCTTAGCAGCATCTTGTTTACCTATTGTGGGAGTCTACCATTTGTTAGATTTCTGAAACGTTCACTAGCTTGATAAGATCACAATAGATAGTCTCGTCTAGCGCCCAGCTTCAAGATACTTCCAAACATCGAGCCGGCATTTGACCATGTGCCTCAGAATTGATTGAGATCATGGGCGAACAGCGAAAGCCGGTGAAATGAATGAAGCCAGTTCTCCCTAGACCAGCTTGTCACTATTTCAGTTTCTTCCAAGCACGGTCTTGGTTAGCGAAGATATGAGTTCCACGTGGTTTTCTCAAATCCACTCCACAGGTCTATTGTACCTCTATCCTTTTCATAAGTCACTATCAGCGTCTCATAATATTGACGTCCTGCACCGTAATTTGAAAGAGACCCAACTTGGATCGGCGCCATTAAGAGGAGGCTAGGCGCATACAGCCGATGAACCGCATAATTGCTAAGTCATTAGTGGCTTGTCCCCCTATCCACTGAGCGGCGTCTTCACGTCGCCGTGTATCCAGTGTCGTGCTCATCTTCAATAAAGCTGGTCTGAATGTTGTGTACTAGTCATCGAAGCATAAACACTCAGTTATCACATAAAAATCTGACGGCCTCAGTGAGACAAGTCCACAAATCGGTTATAGGCTTACTGCCGATTGCGAGCTATACCTTGTGAGTTGTCGGTCCAACCACAGATTATGTCGCTCGAAACCCACCCTGGAATGTAGGACGAGCCAACGGTGCCAATTCCAACCTTCAAAAACTTATTGCTATCAAGTCAGCGGTCATCCCCTATAATTTTCAACCATCTTAGAGCCGGCGAACAACACAGCGCCATCTCCCGGGCATGTCTAGCCGTCCTATATGTTCGTGTCCGAACCAACCTTGCTTCTTTAGTCGTTTCGTCGGACACTGTCCAGAACGTCTGCACTCCTCGGACTTTTGGGTACGTGCATTACCCGATACGAGCAGTGCTCCGAAACTAACGTTGGTCGTTGGAAACATTATAGTGTTGCTCATCTCAACACTGGCACCCCAAGACCGCCGTTTCGTCCTGGTTGGGACTCATCAGTTGGAGATAGCCTGAGTTGGGCTGAAAAACTAACTTTAACGTTAGTCGTTGTTTAGGACCTTTATAACGTACGAGTCTCATAACCGTGCATGAAGGCCTCACTCACTGTTGTTCTGTATGTGCGGCTTTTAAGACCGAGACGTTTGGCGCCAAATGTACCGCAGGCAGTCAAACAGCAAGCCAATGTGGTACAGATCAACCAATTTTCCTCTAGGCAGCATTACATTCTCTACATCGCGAGAGTTCACAATAAGCGTCGCATGATGGAGTCCACGGCAGAGTTGAACAAAAATGAGTAAATATGACAAACCTGCGGACGCCACTATCTATTTAATCTGGTTGGTTTTTGACTCGTTTAATTTTATCGGCTTCGTACAATCGCGCGTTTTCAGTGCTGTGGTTGGTCTCGAAAATTTCGTGTCTGTTCGCTCTCCTGCTGTCTTCCTATGGAAAGAACCTTGTTACCACCTTTCGATCAGCCGGTGACCGAAGGGATTAAGTGTCTACCTTGTGACTCAAAGATCACCGGTCTGAACCAGCGTAAGGGCGAGAGACGTCGTAATTCCCATCCCGCACGCTACTGCTGCTGGACGCGTGCCAGGGAAGTATCGGATCTGCCTCCCGACGTACTGTTGCTGCCTTCGTGTCCTTGCTCGTCTAGTTTTCTCTTTATTTTAATGAGTAGAAGCAACCGCTGGGCCGATACAACAGCCGTTAACTTTCAGTTGGACTTCATCCCACAAAGCACAGTTTGGCGATACTTTCACCAATTTCGAATTCGTCGGTAAACGTGAGTCTACGGCATCTGAAATTGAAACTCTCCTGATCCAGGCATTACAACCGGTGATAACGCCGCATTTATCCAAGCAAAGCACATGGTTAATCGCCTTCTAACAGTGGTTTTGCCGTGTCATGCTTCACTATAAGTTGCTTTTGGCTTTCAGCTTAACTTTGTACGGACGAGGCAACCCAAAAATTAGAGGCTGTGGTTCGGTCTGTCGCATCTATAACCATGTACTCGAAGAAAATCAATGGCATCCTTATTGGAGTGTACACGATGTCCTATTAGGTTAGCTGTGGGCCACTTGTTTAGTCCTCCCTGCTGTCACCTCCACCACAATCATTCCTATTGTTTTCCCTTTCTCAGGTGCACCTACGCGACAGGACTGTCGTCGATCACTGGGGTGCGCCTTATCTTATCTGCTGGAGCATCGCGAACTTCTCAAGGTAAGAACATGTCTATTTCTCCACCCGTTTACTACACTGCATCTCACTCTTCTGTATTTGGGGCATGGGAAACTCTTTACATGGCGATTATTCGGTGTTTTCTTTACCCGGAGACTACACTTTTCTGCACCCCGTTCCTTTGGTCTAGTGGAAATCGGTCTCTTCTTAAGTTGCGGGTGGTGTTTCATGCGCTTCTTCCGCAAATCAACGTCTAATCGCTTGTGGATTCTGTCTTGGATGATTCAAGTAACTAGCTCTTGTCACCATTTCAATGGTTGCTTATCCTTTTGAGGGCCTTATGCTATTTCAGCTCACAAATATAACGAACTCTCACTTAGTTCGCTATGAGGAGTAAAATTTGCCACCTGCAGTTACTACGCCAGCTTATCCACTCATAAACATGCAATGTTTGCGGCACACTAGAGATATTCCCCTCAGTGTGAAAAACCAAGTAGACAACGCCGCGATGAGGTTGTGTGAGGGCGACTTAATCCCTTCGATCCGAGGATCTCAAACCCCTTCAAGTCTTTGCTCATCGTTACCTGCGAAACGTTGCTGATCTCGGATAGCACCAGCGTGTCCGCAACGATGTAGTGCGCAGATGTGTCCTAGCCGGTGATAATCAGGTTGGTTCTTCAGTGAAACAAGTAACATTGAGATAAGTTGTGCACTTGTTGGAATGGCTAGGAGCCCCGACCTCAGTGTCGTTTGTGTTGTGGGTTTCTGTGTCCCTCCCACTGCCGCTCAGCCTCTTCCAACCATGATCTCATTTCCTAGGCACAATATAACTTGTTTTTGCGGCACAAAAGCCGGCTGCTGGCTCTTCGGAACAATGCCAATCTGTTACTGCTAGCTCAGCTGACGTGCCTCTGTTGCAGATTTGTTTCTTGCTTGTTGTGGCACAGTAGTTGTGGTGTTTTCCACCTCTGGCTAACGTGTATGACGATGATGATGATGATGAATAACTAGCTTTGGCTTTAGTACGTGTTACATATGCCCAACACTAACCGAAGAGAGTTTTATTTTGTACGGTTTTTGGTGTTGCACGCCCCAAACACTGCCCTTCCCGATTGGTCTCCTCCTTGTTTGGTGTTCTCAAGTTGAAATAATCTGATCAGGAAGTGGAACTCGGCACCTATTGGTTGGTGGCTTTCGCCGTGATCACCAAGCCACTTCGATGCGCGAAGACCTGGTTTTGTTCGCCAACTGTTAGACAGCGCACGATCCTAGAAGGGTAAAAGTTGATTTGTTTGTTGAAAACGAAATACTTGGCGCGCTAGACTGATTGTCGTAAGTCTTTCTCGCTTCCTCGACTGGAGCCTACGCGGTCCATCTCTTGCTTCGCTTTAGATTTTACTGGGCATGTCTCACAGCCGCTACTTACAGCAGGTTTGCCGTCGTTTGTTAATGGACCATCTTGTTAAAAGTATATTTGACGCTACGTTGTCTGCGGGATAAGGTTAATTGTGACACCAAGTTTTAGAGCAGACATACCAACGACCGACTATGGTGGTTTTCCTTGATTTGAAAGACACTTTTGACTCTGTTGTTTGAGACAGTTTGTGGCACTGCCTATCCATGAAAGGCTTGCCACCTAAACTTCTTTCCGTTCTGAAGTCTGTCTGTCGTGATTGCCGAGACTATGTAATAGTCTACGAGAAACTCTCCTGAGTTCCCCACGACAAGCAAGATTCGTCAGAGTTGTCCCATATCTCCTTCTCTCTTCATATTTGTTGTCCAAATGATCATAAGTGACTCTGTTCTTTCAGACTCTACCAGACTTGAAGTTCTGCCAGGTAACCGACTGACAAACCTGGAGTATGCGAATGTTACAGTTCTCCTTGGGTCTAATACATCGGCTGTGCAAACACTACTGCACAGACTTGTGCGTAGCGCTGCACGCTTCGGTATGTACTTTGCACCTTCAAAGTGCAAAGTGCTGTACTTGGCCGACACACCTTCGGTTTTAGCTATTTCCGAACAGCCAGTGGAAGTGGTGCATCGGTTCACTTGCCTTGATGGCTGTGTCACCTCTGGTTGTCACTGAATTGGCTACTTTGCGTATCAAGAAGACCCATGTGGCTTTCCAGAAACAACCATCTACGGAGACGGCAGGTTATCAGTGAAAGCTAGGGTGCATAATGCTTCGGTAAGTCCGATCTTACTGTGTGGATCAGAGACCTAGCCAGTCTGTGGCGAAAACATTAAACGCTTGGTCGTGTTTGACCACCGGGGCTTGCGCTCTACTGCTCACATTTGGTGGGAACACCGGGTGAGCGATGCTGAGGTCCGCCAGTTGGATTTTGACAAGTAGCCTTCTGGTTCCTCACTCGAGTGTTTGCTCAATCTTAATCTTTTACATTGGCCAGGCCATGTTCTCCTTAGGCCCGTTGATCGGCTTCTTCAGCGTGCATTATACGTCGTGGCCGCTGCAGGTTGGGCGAAACCGCGAGGTGACCAGTCCATGACGTGGTATAGAGGCAAGAAGAAATTGACTGAAGGATTTAGTCAGGCTTTTGCGTGCCGCCTTCGTGAATGGGGGCCTCGGGATGGTCCACATCAATGGTTGGAGACCATATCAGACATGACGCAATCACGCAGTCATTCGATTTCTTGCATCTGGCTGTTAATTTTAGTTACCTCCTGATTAGTCTAACGCATTTCCTTCTTGCTTTCATTTTCTCTACATTCTATTCGCATCCAACCCCACTGTCCTACCGTTTTTATTTATTGTTATTCTTACGGTGTGAGTTGTGGCAACTGGATCCACCACACTTCGGTGATCGGATTCTAGTTGTTCGACTGACGCGGAGCAGCGATAGCCATATGGAAGTTGTCTCACCGAAACCACTAACCGTTTGTGACCGTGTGTTTTAGATTACATGCGGGAAGTCGGACTCTAAGTGCTTGTTTAAAGTATCTAGGTTTCAGACTACCTCTCCTGTTCATTCAGTGTATCCGCAGTGATAGTGTACACACGGATAATGCACCCGTGTAGGTGTATAAAGCTTATTTTGACGACTTAACTTGAAGCGGTAGTTTCAGTTACTGATGAGTAGGGGGCCGAAGGCAGTTTCTCGAATAAACTGCACTACTGATCACCATTTCATCCTGCTAATAGTCAAACTTTGTTTTGCACACACACAATGATGCTTGGTTTTCCCACGCCCATTGTGTCAGTTCTCACAGCCGCATCGTATCTCTTGTTCTCCTAACCTCGATCAGTTCACATATTTTCCAGTATTTTTTCTTATTGTCATCTTCTCGTGTGATGCTCATTTGTTGCTTCACTGATTAGGCTGATTTTCCCACTTCCTCACTTCGCTCCCGTTCAAATTAGCTTCATCGTAATAACGGCACTGAACTGGCCACCCGGCTACGCTCGCTTATCAGTCGGCCTGGTCCGGTTGATGCGGAGTCATTACACACCACTGCTGTCGGAGTGGAGTACCTTTTGGAAATCGGTCTAAACAAGTTGATAAACGACTGTCTTTGTTTGTTGGAATGCGGTAAGTTGCCTTATCCTTGCAATCTCTTCATTCGCTTTTTTCTCATCACATCTTGGTACACTTCTGATGCTGCTGATCCGTTTATAATTCTTGGAACGTGTGTGCTTCAGTGTTGCTTTTTGGTACTTAGCCGTCGCATGCTCCCAAACAGTATTTCAGTCCGAAATTTGCTCTTCATTAGTCATGCGATGGATGGGATTTGACATAGCAGCATAGGTACAATTCCGTAACGTCAATTTGTACTGAGCGCTGTCAGGCTTTTCTTCTTCATATTCCTATTGTTGCTACCAACCTTCTCATTCTACTTTTAATTTGTTCCTAGTCGTTCCTGGATGGACCCCTCCACCCACAGAACTAAAAAGAAGCTGGGATTTGGAACATCGTTGGGCCCTGTTACACCATTTATACAAATGCAGCTGCCTACTAATGGTGTTATCAAGCTACTGTTCAAAAGAATCTTTCGTCCCACAATTTAGGTAATGGTCACTGACTTCGTATCAACTTGTTATCCGTTCTCTTGTGCTTCGATTCTCCTCCGAACCTTTCTTCCGCTTCACTGTACGTATATGTTGCGGTCTGAATCATTTGCTGAATAACTGATAAAATTTGGCGATATGTGAAAAATAGGATCCGGCTAGCTCTACCCCGCAGTGCGATCATCTTTTTATCTTGACGCTGAGTCGCATTTGTCCTTGTCTCTACAAATTAGCTCTTTATTGGTTAAGAAGGGCTCGCAACTGGATCGTAGGCGCAGCAACCACATCGATTTTGCAATTCGTGTCTTTAAGCTACAAGTCTAAGTGAGCGCTCCCCGCTTCCCGTCTGCTTTCTCGGTATGCGAATATACTATACCGATGGAGTCTGATTTGTTTTAGGAAACATGCACCATTTGTGAGCAGAACTCGTGAAGCAAAATGCTCAGGCTTATCGACCGCCATACTGCCTCATGAGCATCTTTGGGGGAGTCGTGACCCCACGCTCGGTCGCGCAACTTATGTTGACCGTATCACATCGGATCCGTGTGGAATTTCCCCTTTTGTTAGACTTCCTTATCGGTCATATTATTTGTCAGTCTTTGTAGGTGCACCATGCTGCGTCTTTTTCATCTGAGACACACCGGTTGGCTGGTTGCGCTTCACACCACTCGTGATCGATTTCTTGCGTTATGCTGCTGCGCAGCACCACATTCCATGAGAGTAGTTAAAAAGCCTTCAGAAGTACGCCATAATGACGCCTCGCTCCCACGCAATCGCCATCAATCGCGCGAAGGCTAAGGATACTAAGAGGATTACCCGCCCAGTCCCCTACGTAGGGTCGAATTCGGGACCTCCAGGTTGCGAGGCAGTCGCCTTGTCCTTTCGTCCACGGCCCGGTCCACGAGGGTAGCTACACATTTGTAAAGATAATCGAGACACAGAGGGCCGATAAAGATTGATTATCTGTGCCATATCAGTATCCTTCAGCAAATGCAAAACCATCATACAACACAAAGTATTTGTTAAAACGACTAATGGAGTGATCGGATGCGCCAGGGTCATAGTGTGCCTTTTGAAATGACAGGTCCTCGTTTAAAATCGCTTCACTTAAATTTTAGGATTGACACGAAGGATTTGAATTGCCTTATTCGATGAAAGTTTTATGAACTTGTAAGCCAACTTGGTATAGGCGGACACCTGTGATGTTCTCCTTGACAGTACAAATGGGCAGGTACGTCGGATTCCTCATACCGACCCTTACCCTATACCGATCCGTGTTGTACTACGTAATTCAATTATATATTCATAAACGATTCGAGAAGCCGTTCCCTAGACGAAACAGATCAATAAATGATACAACCATTTCACTAGAATGAATCAATGGAGGCCGAATCTGGGTACAAATTTCTTTTCGGTAATTCTCCTCAGACTCAAACATCACCTGGTGATGACAAAGTACCAAATGTGCCGGATTGGGCTGCATATTGATCACAATGTTTAATTCCAACAGGAACAAATCAGTAAATCACGGGGTCATTGAAGGTGGCAAAGTATGTACAGGGGAAAGCACAGCCGAAGTTGTATGCCACGGTAGAAGTAAAGGATGTACAAAATGTTTTTGTACGCACAATTCTAGCTTGAGGTCGCGGATGTAGATAGCTTCCGCACTGGACAGGAGATACTTCTAGAATCCCCGCGAGAAACCTTCAGGGATAGTGTAGAGGACTCTGAAATCCTTTTCCGTCCCTGCGTGACCGCACTCTAAAAGATGAGACAACTTGGATCCTGTTACTAGACCTCACTTCGCCTTTGTAAAACCACTTCGGGATGTGTTCGCGAATCCTATGAGATAGGCGCCTCGTTGTAAGACCCATGTATCGTGCACCACAGGAGCACGAGTAAAGATAAACAAGCACTGATCGAGTCACCGGAGGCAGCCTGTCTTTCAAAGGTTTTGCGAATAAAAGCTTGTTGTAAAATACTATGTGTAGGCGAGCCGCGAAATGGGTCTTTTCGACAGCGTCCCTGCGTTCACGCAGGGACGGAAAACGATTTCATATTCCGACATTCCTGGCGCCAGCGTACAAAGACCTAGTCTACAACGTTACAATGCGTACAGTGCTCCCTTACAGGTGTGATACCTGCGCCGTTCGCGCGAGCTGTGTTCAGAGACTGTCTACTTTTGATCACCGTTGCTTCCGATGCATCGCTGGTTTATGTTGCCAGCACCTCACTAGTGCGGATGTTCGATGTCGGGTTTTCAAGTTAGACAAATTCTACCAACCGCTCAGTTGCATACTTCACCTGTCCGCGCTTCGACGACTCTTGCAAGCGCTTCACGTATGCCTACCCAGCAGTTGCCTCGTCCAGCCCACTTTGATCGCACCGGTGTTCATTGGAGCTAACGCAGAAATGGCCGACGCATAATTTGGGCCAAGGGAATCAAGGCGTTAACATGTCTACTTTGGCTGGCGTTGGGCTTTCCCGACTCCCGGACTTGCCTGGAAACACTAGTGAATATAGCCCAGAATCGCACTCAATGACCAATATTCTGTGAAATGCTCCTACCCCGATTGTCCTTTCCCTATTTTTGTCCGTATTCTGGTACACTGCCACTTTTTCATTGATCAAGTGTTGAATGTGTGTATACATTGTATCTGACTGGAAGTCTCAGAATTCATCGATACCATTGTCGGATCACGAACATTGTTTACCTCTGAACGAATCACGGAATACTTCATGCAACTAACCGCCAGCTAGTGTCGCACTTTGCCGCTTACTCCAAGAGTCGCTTCGCGGACAGACGGTTTATTCAGCAAAGGCAAACTAGCAGAAAAGCGAACGTTTGGCTCAGCCGCTTCTCCTACTAATGACCTGGTTGGGCCAGTGAAGTTCTTCCGTCGGTTCAGTTAAACAACGAGGCGATTCACAGTGACACACTCGGACATCAACCAATCAGCGAACTCACCTAGGCGCACGACTTTACGTGGTGCATCCAATCGCAGAGCCTGTTCAATTCGCGTCCGATTACCTCATTACTTCATCCTTTGGATCCACCACTAATTCACCCCGATTGTCTACTCCCGTCCACTGAATTTCCACCGCTCACGTCTGCCAGGCCACACTGGCCGTTTACTTCGACGTGCAGCGTCCGGCTTCCTTGTATTTGATTTAATGAAATCCTAGGACTTCCAGTCTATGTAACGTCACAATAGTCAGCTTAACATGTGCCATGTTCTTGAATAGCGACTTTAAGAGCAGCAGCTCAGAGGCTCTCAACCCTACCTAACATGGCTTAAAGAGCGATCTGTCTTTGTCTTTCGCTCTCTTTTTTAGCAAGACGATACGGCGGATAGTGGCAGCTTAGCTTGTGCTCGACTAACTTATTTTCTCTAAATACACTGATACTTATAAGCAAACACATTGTGTATGTATGCGTACTGCGCCATGTATCAGATCGTTTGCCGTAGCTATCGACTGCTGAACCTGAGGGAGGTAGCGTCGCACGGGACTCATTCCAGCGTACGCCGCACCTTATAAATACTTTTTTCTGTTGTTGCTTACGGTTCTTATGCAACACTCTTCCTGCTATGAGGCCGTATTTCTCCTGCACTTAACTACGTAATATCATTTAGAATGGCTAAGTGAGTCACTCATGCACCGATCAATATTCGGGTACTAACTGGATCCAAATATTGTGGTTTACAGTCTTTCTCTATCCGAATCCTCTTACCATTTAATCTCTAACCTTCCCATTATGTGCTGCTCTCCTTCCAGAAAAATACTGAACCAGCCCGATCCTAAAGATGAATGGCGGACCTCCATTTTTGGTGACGCTTCCGCAAATCCACTGGTGATTCGTCATACTTTTGATTTTCCGGTCTCCGAACTACTTGTTCCCATTTCCAGGTCAGTCACCAATACTCACGGATCCTCGGTAACAGTTTAGTTTCCCTTCTCATTACGTAGTAATCGAAAGCGCCATTTATGTCATCAGAAGACCGAAACTGTCACTTGATCTAAACTTGGAAACAGACGCTTGTCTCTTGTCTTGGATAGCGTCCTGGCCACGCGGATACGTGGTACCGCAAATGACTGTTTTCAATTTCCTATATTTACCACTTGTCGTTTCCTGGAATTATTAGTAACATTCCACCCGTATCTGCCTTACCACTGCGAGGGTAGACCACACCGCTAAGGCTTGTATTTTTAGTTTTCTAGCGGTGTCACCAATTTCTCCTGTTTTTTTATTGACCCTTGCCACTGCGCATACCTCATACCGCGATACGATCGGTTTGCCTATCCAATGTCAATAATGGACTTGTGACTCCATTCACTGTCTAACGCATCGACATAGCTAGCAAATTTGTCGAACACATTCGTTGACATGACTACTGTATCAAGTGGTTCATCATATGAACGCTGATGCGCTCAGTGGTTCATTCAAGTTTCTCGTATCTTTCTGTACATTTGATGAAATTCACCCCTCAGTTCACCTAGCATTTTGTGTGTGGGCGACTACACGTAATTTGTGCTCCATTACCCACAGCTCTAACCCCTTCGACACCCTACATCCAGTGGTGTGTAACATTGCAGAAGTGTGACTTGTTGACGTGTGAACCGGAGCCAAATTTGTTTCAGCCGCGACCATCATATTGATTTAAAGGAGACCTGCTAACAGTACCTATGGGAATGCATGAGTTGTAGTCTCCCTCGTGGTGAGGTTACATCTATAGATGTCTAGCGCGTTTACGAAGACTACGCACCTCATTCCACAACAACAAGCTACGCTCTCTTTGTTGTATCCAAACACAAGAGTAGACCAATTCTCCACCAAGAAAGAACATGACAAGATTAACAAGTAGGAATTTCTCTTGTTATATAATGTACTACTGGCACAGGCAGTTTGAATTTTGAATGATCGAACAATCAGAGGGGGCGATCAATACTTTCCGATTCGTTGAGCTCACGTTACATTGGTAGCACATCGGCCCGGCGTTACCTCGTTGCTAATGTGTCTGTTTACTTTTTGACCCTTAATTGGTCGCGTACCTTCCAAGACATAAGTCCTTGCGTGGTGTATTTTGTACACCAGCAGAGAAATATCCCACAATAGATCAAGTAATGGCAATGAAATAAAATAAATCATTAGTCAGCTGTACGCCGTAACGACGCTTCGCTGCCGCGTAACCACCACCGGTCGCGCGTGGGCTGAGTAGACTGCGAGGGCGCTCGCCCCTCCGCGGATTCGCACCGGTGAACTTGTGACTGCAAGCCAGGCGTGCAGACCATTCGCCCACCGGCCGACAGGCAGGCGTCAGTGTAGTGCTTAGGGACCAATATCGTTGATGTTACCATTATGACGAAGGACATTTGAATTCCAGCGAAAGCATTAATTTCATTTGATTTACACCTTGTATTTTGTTGTAACTTACAAGTTTACACTAGTTGCTTAATTACAAAAGGTTATATTTTCAAAGTGCCCCATGCTAAGGCTGATGTTACATTCTTGATGCTTCTTCACCGCAGTTGGGCTAAACCAAATTACACTTAAATTAGGTCTTTTTAAGCTGGATAAATTTCATTCCACTCTATTTGCTTTGTTCTGCCTACCTGAATAATCTTCTATTAACTGGCCACGTTGCTTACGCTAATTGCGCTTATTTTCGGTAACTTTGTTGCGTTTGTTGCATTTTTGCGTAACTTGTGAACATTTCTTACTTATCGCGGATTCGTCGCTAACCAACTTACTTCATATGCTAATTTAGCGAAGTTATGCCACCGTATCTGTATGCATTCTTGGATTTATTTTATTTCAGCTTGTCGTTTCAAGTGAATGACTGTTGCTTGATATCCCCGGTGTGGCTGCGCTTGATGTGCATGTTGACAAGGCGCGTACCTGTCTGTTGCCCACTACCTCGTCCATACTGGCTCCAGGAGACAGTTGGTCGTTGCTGGAGGGGACGGGTGCACAGTCGTTGTGGCCGTGCTAGGCTCAAAGAGCGGTTCCATGCACTCAGTGTGGAGCTGACTACGGTCTAGCCACCGCCTTGTGTGCACTTGATTCCCCAACTACAGCGTGCTTGTGTTTGTCTGTGAAGGAGTGTGGGCCGGCTCCGTTGATAAAACGTGGCTCCCATCCACATGCCTCCCGATCTTATTCCTTCGGGTTTACACTGGATATGGGGTGTGTGGTTGGAGCTGTAGGTGGTGCAGCGCAAGCCACCCATGGTCCCTCTGTAGGCGCAGGCCTCCTGTGGCTGGCCACAGTGACAGGCAAATCCGAAATCGGATGCCGCCAACCATATTTTTAGATATCCCGACTACATAAACACTGAAAAATCCCGGTTCTTCTTAGTTACTTTCGGTTGTTCCAATAGGTACCTATGAATCGGATTTCACACCACTTTTTGAACGCTCTTCACCCATAAACTCTGCAAAAAGAGTATATTAATCCCGCCACTCTGTTTGTAGCTGTGTTACAGAGCTACAGAGGTGGTTCCTCCTTAGTTTTTTCACAGCAGGAGGATGGGCTGGAACCTCTTGTTCTGGCTATGGCTTTTGTCTCGCCAAGATAGTTTTGATCTCAACAAGAGGCTTGTGTGGGAACACTCCGTCGTCTGGATAAGGCCTTATCACACTTACGGCGATATTCTTGAAGAACAGACTCCTATTTTGTAATTTACTTTCTAAATCGCATGCCATGTTATGTAGAACATGTTCATTCACCCCGACAGTGTTGATGTGCTGAAGGATTGTGCACAGAGGCTGCCGAATAGTTGCCACATAACTGCTCGTGTGATGTACAACGTAAACCAATCGGAACTTCCTACGAGCTATAGTCTTTCGTTAACACCGGTGGCAATCTGATGTCCTACGATTGCATCACTGTCCGTGTCAGCAAGCCGGCGGATAGCAGGCCTTGCCAGTGAGATCACCTAACCAACCCAGAGGCAAACAAAACCGCGATTGGTGTACGAAATACACCAACGTGACTGTTTCATAGTTAACAGCGCTCCATGAGAGATGTGTCTTCCTAGAACCTTTGGAGTTTTGTGTACAGGCACCTTATCCACTTACTCATCATCTGTGACACCAGACATAACAAATCCTGTCGGTATAATGATCTGGTGCACGATGACGCTCGTTCACTCATCAGTTAAGACGTAACCCATATACAAAGAAGTGGTATAAACTATACCACGTAGGCCTAAGTGCTGTACATTCCTGGTTTCTGAGCTGCCACACTGAGGCACATGCAGTCGCCTACTCTCAGTATCACATCTGTGCTTACCTAGAGATCAATCGACGTTTCATACATCATGCGTGCATTCTACTCTGCAGACGCAGATATGATTAATTTTAGTGATTAGCTTTCCGATCCAAGAGTGCATGACTCTATCAGTGCTCGGAAAACTCAACCTGCATTCTGTAAGCATTAGACGCGATATGCTTATTGCTCGTAACTCTTCTATTCAGCGCTCTCTAATTACCCCACTCACCGTGGCTAGTAAAGGGGATGTGAATGCGCCCTTTGTGTATTAAACTTATTTTTGACTTGAAAAGTGAATCGCAAGACGTCCAATTTGGGGCTTTGAAGAGCAATCTTAGTGGACATCACAGTTTGTTTTGATATATCTTTAAATGGCCGGCTCGTAGCCTCAAGGTAACAAGATTGTCTTGTAATCTCATAACCCGGGTTCCAACCTGTTTAGAGGCAGGGCGACCCTCGCATTATCCTTAGGCCACGTGCGACCGATGGTGGTTACGCGGCAGCGAAGCGTCGGTACCACGTACCGGTGTACTACTTATATGCTTTGGTGATCCTAGGCACTTAACCGCACCCTGAGTGAAAGTATGATGGCTGTTCTGCTTTTTTTAAACACTAAACTCTAGAGTTGGTGGCCATCAGTATGACTGTTGTTTGCACGCAAGTGATTCGATGTTGGTCATATACTCAACTCTCATGCTATTTCTCACATGATCCGTTCTTTGCTTTGGATGTGTTGACGACAACGTTAGTTCTAATGGACCAGCTAGATCGACGTTCCGTCATCAAACGTACTTGAATTCCCTATTCATTACCCGATGTCACGTGTCGTTAGCACCATTCTACTTTTTTAAATCCCACATCGATGTCTCTTATTTCTGTTACTCCCATCAAATTCTTGTATCCACCGAGACACCAATTTAGCAGCTCAGTTGTTTGGGCCTTCTTGACCAGATGTCGACTTGTACCTCACTGAAACGGGACGGTTTCTCGTTCAGATGATAATCTCCCAATGGTCTTGTTCTCAATTGCTTACGTAGCTACATACGGTTCGCATTTCTCCAAGCTCCTCCCTCGTTTTATACACTATTTTTATTGCCATCACTCTTCACAGCATGCCTCCTACTTTGTGGATCATGCGTTTGGATGCAGATCATCCCACCAGAGCGCGCATTTGTCTTGTCTACCAGCGAATACCCTCGAAAGGTAACTCTGCCCGTTCTGATGCTGATACTTATTGCTCCCACACAATACTCACTTGCGTGACGTTTATTTTATGTTGGTCCCATCATCAACGTCTTTCATTTTATTCCCACTTAGTTTTCACTGATAGCAACTCTGTGAACATACTGCCCACCTCGTTACGGTTTCCTGCTTTTATTTGTGCAACATCAATAGGCCCCATAGGCAGAAGAGCCTCCACCGAGACCAAAGGAATATTTACCAGGCCACTCAATCCTCCTCATAAGCTTCCCCATTACCGTTTTTACGTGAAAATTCCTGGTTGAATTGCCTTCGGGGTTACAGGTTGACCATTTCGAATTCCAGACGCTCCAACTATGCAAGTGATATGACAGACGGATTTGGAACAACTTAGCAGAAGTTGTCCACGGTTTTCACTTCCATCGCTGCATCGGCGATGCCTCGTAATCACTTTGTAATTGAGCAACCCAGGGAAGAGATGCATCTAGTCAAAACGAGACAGAAGGCAGCTCTAGTATCACTAGGGTGGGTACATGAATTGGGGAAGGGGAATTATCGTCCTCAATACTACTTCCGCAATTCGGACAACAGTCGGAGGTGTCAGAGAACGCAATCTAGAAATGAGATACGACGAAATCGAAGTTAACGTATCGGGGTGACAGAACCAATCAGGCAACAAAATGAATATCCTCCGTGTCCTCAGTCACTAGTGTATCGCCAGTATCGGTCTTTAACGGTCATTCGCTTGCATTACATATATATATATATATATATATATATATACCATTTTCTCTTTAAAGTGAACCTTTTGCACACCACTTTGGACTTTTTGCAAACCACTTTGGACACATGGGATTTTATGGGGAAAATCATCAATTCGCTTGCAAGAAATGAGGAGTAAGGCGACTAGACGATGTTCAGACTACATTGTAGTCATGATAATGCAACCGAATTGTGTAACTAGCGGGTGCCACGGCAAACTCTTCTCTTGATCATAAACCTCGAGTGCCTCAATCAAAAGCGGTGACTGAGTATCCCTTTATCTACCTGTCTGTCTGACTTTACACATGGATCTGTGTGGCTGTGTGACTATTGGAAAGTCAGACTATCCATTCACGTTGTCCATCATGGCTTAAACAAATGTTACCTATACTTGAAGGGTCGTTGTAAAGCGCTCGTTTTGAGTATGGATCACGATGCGCCATCTCAAAGTGGATCGCGATTCCCACTGAATTAACCCTTGGCCAATTCGATCACTTGGACCGTAACTGATGTAGTAGATATACGGCGATCCAGTTGTCTTCTGTCACTCTATGGGCTTTGGCAAATTTTGTATGGGCCAATCAATTCAGCTACTAAATTATTGGATCAGTGCAGGCTATCTATCATTATTCCACTAAACACAGCATAGCTTTATTGGCCTACTGCTGTAAGTCGTTATCTAAGAACGGGGATTAAACGATTGGAGGATGTTCAGACCACATTGTACTCGCGCGAATGCAACGGGAGTGTGCAGGTAGCGGGCGATTGTGCAAGCCCTCCTCTCGATCATTGGCCTTGCCCACCTCGAGCAAAACCGGCGACCCAGTTGCCTTGTGTCGTTCCAGGTGCTTTCGCATATTTCCTATGGGTGTATGGGCGAATCTATGCGGTCCAATCACTGGAACATTGTTGGTTATTACTAATATATATTTATATGTATAACCTATAGTAACACCTTAGCTGGTTGCCTGCAAGCTCTTCTGAAAGGACAATTTTCAGTCGGTTTCCGAGATATCGGATAGTTGCTTTTGTTTTCAGTAATTTTGGTGGCAAACTGTGGTACAAATCGAAGCGCCCTCACTATGGATTCACCGTTCTATACGTTAGCTAGAAATGAGAAACACTTCAGCAATTGTGGCGCATTGGGCGTGGAACCCGTTTAAATAACTCCCACGTGTGTGGTTTCCATTTGCTGGCTTTGTAGCCAACTTCCAAGATCAAAACCTGATTTCAGATCCTCTTACTGTGTGGACACCTCGCTGAATTGCAATATGGCCACTCTAAACCGATTAGGAGACACCCTTACAGGTTGCACAAATCAAGTAACTCAACTCGCTTGATTATTTGCATGGCCAACTTGCCTTGCCGCAACGTTACTCGATGGTTGAAGAAACTCTCGACTCCATGCGTAAACTCCTGGCTACGCACTATTTGAAAGCCTCCTTTGTACTAGCCGAGAAGCTGAAACAGTCCTCACTGGGTCCGAACTCGTTTCCCATTTACAAACGTGCCTCCTGGGGAAACAGTCAACGCTTTGCTCCATTTCATTCTGAGACAAAATATGTCTATGACCCTGCCAATGGAGTATTTGAAAGATATGATTCTACTATGCATAGAAAATGTACATTTTGAACCTGAGGGACAACATATAAACAGGTCAACGATGTAGCCATGGACCACTTTTTGGACCAGTTTTAGCAGACAACTTTCTCGACCTGGTAGAAATGTAAGTTGCTGCCATCGTTATTGAAGCGAAGTTGTGCAGACCGTATTTGGATGACATTCTAGTCTTCATCAGCGGCGAACATTTTACGCGGTTGGCAACCGTTCTGAACTCGATTCACTCCAAACTATCGGTTTTCCATGAAGTAAAGCAATACGGTTTGCCTGCCATCTCTGCATATACTCATAAGACGACTGGCTGAAGGTAAACTGCAGCGCACCGTTCTCTGTAAGACAACTTGGTGTGGGCAGTTCCTTCACTATTCCAGCTTTGCCCCAGTCGTATAAAAACGAAACCTAGTTAAAACTCTCTTCTAAACATCCAGCCCGACCTGCAGCTCCCAAAATGCTAAAAGCGGAAGAGGAATTTCCACAGTGCGCTTAAAATCGTATGGGTATCCTGGGAATTTCATTCAGACTCACAGCAGGCCTCTGACGAAGAAAACACTGACACTAACGGCAGGGAAAAAGCATGTTTATTTGCTTTTGCCTTTCAAGGGGGATCATATGGCAACGAGACTAGATAATAGAGCACCAGTACAACCGAAGGCATCGCGCTATACCACAACACTTCGAAGTTGGACAGAAACTGTTGGCAAAGGACTATCGGAACAACCAAATCTCTTAGACACCTGGAGTGGTTGTAAGACGATATGGCCATGCCTGTTATGAAGTGGCCGTAGGCGATGACAGATGGATCCGCCACATCAATCAACTCAGGAGCTACGTCTCATTTGACAGAAGAGAAGATGTCCTAACTACACCTCTTGAATTACTTCTGGACGAGTTCAAACTACCAAAAACAGAGGCTACTCAGCAAGACAAGCCTATAAATCCAACAACCTCACCTTCATCCGATTGCCGACCTAGAAGATGACCCGATCGTTGCCGAGTTCCTGTTATGCCACTCCAGGGTAACCCCAGACTAAACTCATATGACAGTGGACTCCAGACGGGGAGGTGTCAGGAGGGGCACCTAACGAATGGATCCGTGGACCTAAATGATGTGCATGGCTGGACGCGAAACGCGTGCGTCCGTCTGCCGTAATTATTGATTGATAATTTGGATTCTGCGTTTATGTGACCTCGAGTGCCTCGCACACCCGGTTGCTGTATTTTCTGAGACTTACTGTTACGAAAATAACCATCTTATTATACAGCTCTGTTTTTCTGTTTTCGTCGTAACGAGAACGAACCTTGACGTGTTGCGACGGTTTGCTTACTTCTTTGATCCATTGAGCTCTACTGGGTGGTGCCCCGGGCTCCTTGAGAGCTACTCATACTAGGTTGGTCCTTGGTTAATGGTCAAACACACTCAGTCTACTGACTTGAAATGGATTGCATCTATTTCTGTAATATTTAATCATCACCACTTCCCCAATGCCTTGCGGACAGGCCTTTGAGCCAAAGGCTTTGGTTGTGGACCCTAATCGTCCTTCTGTCGAGGTCTGGGCGCCTTGGCAGTGTCGCAGCCCACATACAACCATGACATTTTCATCAAACATCAGCTTCATCCTGCATTGGCCGTCGCGTAGATTATCAAGGGTCATCTTATCTGCTGCATCCAGCAGGGCGGATAAGCGAAAACATGCTACTGCTGGTGCCTCCCTTCTCTCGTTTCCATCTGTTTCTCTTACTCCCACCCGACTCCCATTACTAACCTTCCTTATATAACCCCCTGCTTAATTGGTAGCAACCGGTGCCACTGGAGTAGAATCATCTGTAGTCACCTTCCCACAACACCCATCGGCAACAGTCCCTTATAAGGGCACGCTGACCCGTTTCCCTGGCGGCGTTCAACGTTCGCACTGTGAGACTAATAGGTCAACATGCTACACTCGCACTCACTTTTGACACACTGGGTATTGATGTGTGTTGTGTGTCCGAAACCAGGATCAATAACCCTAATGTGGTTATTGAATTAACTGTACCCGGCTTATCCTCTCGTTATTGGTTGCATGCATCCGGGGACGCTGATGCAGCACACACGGGTCAAGCTGGTGTAAGTATTATTCCAAGCCCCAAGGCTGAGCCATCGTTGGTTGCTTGGATTCCGGTGAACAGCCGTTTAGATGCAGCCCGTTTGGCGACATCAACTAAGGTTGATTCACGAAATAGTACACGACGCTGTTTGTATGTGATTTCCGCTTATGCTCCTACCGACTGCCGTTCAGATGTTGTCAAGGACACATTCCATGACGAACTGAACGCGCTACTACACAGTGCTACTAGTTCAAATATTATAGTAGTTGCACGGGATATGAACACACAAGTAGGGCGTCTGAGCTCTCCAGAAGCTCAGCTAGGTGCTATGTATTGGCTTAACTCCGGACGGACTGACAAATGTGAGCGTCTGCTGCAACTGTGTGCGAAGCACAAGTTGCTTCTTAGTGTCACTGCTTTTAGACGCAGTGAGTGCCGACGTGCTACTTCGCCTCCTCCTGTAGCTGACCTGGGATGGACCCAAATTGACCACATAGCCATAAGTTACAGGTGGCGTTGTTCCACCATAGATCGCC